GAAACGTTGTTAACCTATGGTACGGATGCTAAGCAAACTCATCTTACAGGCGGTTTGTTTTACAACGATACAGCGGGTAGAATGGATGCGGCAAATCCTACAGTTGGAAATGCCGTAGCTAATAGTGGACTCAAAAAACGCTCCGAATTTACTAACGGTAGTCGTTCTGTGGATTTGATAGGACCTATTCATTGCGACATGTTTTTCCAAGATCGTATGATGCTTAATGGAGTCGATATTAAAATCAAATCACATAGAAGCAAAAATTCATTTTGTCTCATGTCATCTGAGGCAGCGGCAGAATTTAAAGTACATTTGGAAGACGCATCAGTGTATGTACGAAAGGTTCAACTCAATCCGTCTGTAGCGTTGGCTCACGCTAAAGCGCTGGAACGTGGAACAGCTAAATACCCGCTCCGCCGCGTCGAAGTTAAAACGCTCTCGGTCCCCCGGGGAAATTTATCGTTCACCAGGGAATCGCTGTACAATGGAAATCTACTTAAACGCTTAGTGGTGGGCCTAGTGAGCACTGAAGTTTTCAACGGGAGTTACGCCAAGAACCCGTACAATTTTCAGCATTTCAACACAAACTTTATGGCTTTGTATCTAGACGGAGAGCAAGTACCGTGGAAGCCGCTTAAACCAAATTTCGAAGCTAACGGTGAAGGAAGTTATATTCTAGCCTACCAGAGTTTATTCCTGTCTCTTATACACATCTTTTAATGTTGATGAAACAATCTAGGGAAGATTATTCGAGAGGTTATTCATTATTTGCTTTTGATCTTACCCCCGATTTATCAAATAGTGGACATTTCAATTTAATTAAACAAGGAAATATACGTTTAGAAATACAGTTTGCTACTGCTTTGACTCAAACAATTAACGTAATAATTTACTCTGAATTCCAGTCAATAATTGAAATAGATAAGTCTCGTAACGTTATTTTAGATTTCTAATCATGGATACTATACAGTTGTTAAGATTAATTAAATCAGATCCGTTGGCTAAAAGATACTTTCGGGGCGTATATCCCTCTGATCGCCTACCTAAAGGCGAGAGGGGATACCCTAGGGCTTATATAGCGAACGTTGATACTAGCAACGAGAACGGTTCGCATTGGGTTGCATTTTTTATGAATAATCAATATGATGGAGAATTTTTTTATTCTTTTGCCCGTCCTCCAGGATATTATAATCAGTATTTCGTTAAGTTTCTCGATAATTCTGTAAGTAGTTGGACATTTAACGATAAAGCCTCACAAGCTCCTTTGTCGACCGTATGCGGTCAGTATTGTATTTTTTATATCGTACATAAATGTAGAGGCGTTGATAGTTCAACTATAGTTAATATGTTTACTAAAGGTAGACACTCTAATGACACATTCGTTAATGATTTTGTGAAACGTAGATACGATGTTAATTTTCCGG